ATTCATCAAGAAGGTTAATAGAGAGATCTTTATTTGTTAAGTATATGTTGATGATATCATATTTGACTGATCAAATGAAGATTATTGCAAAGAGTTTGGTGAATTGATGTCGAAGGAGTTTGAGATGTCGATGATTAGAGAGCTTACATTTTTTTCTTAGTTTTTAAGTCAAGCAAATGAGAGAAGGGATTTTCATCTCTCAAGAAAAGTATACCAAGGACCTTCTCAAGTGGTTCAAAATGGATGAATGTAAGCCGATCAAGACACCAATACCATCTAATGGACATCTCGACCTAGATGAGGAAGGTAAATCGGTTGATTAAACTCTGTACCATTCTATGATTGGTAGCTTGTTATATTTGACCACATCTAGGTCCGACATCATGTTTAGTGTGTGTATGTGTGCTAGATTTCAAGCTAATTCTAAGGAAGCTCATTTGGTTGCCATTAAAAGAATCCTTAGGTACCTTAAGCACACACCAAGCATTGGTCTTTGGTATCCCAAAGAAGCTAGATTACAACTAGTTGGCTATTCTGATTCAGATTATGCCGGTTGCAAAATTGATAGAAAAAGCACATTCGGAGGGTGCCATTTGCTTGGTAGATCACTAGAGTCTTGGTCCTCCAAAAAGCAAAATAGTGTGGCATTGTCCACCGCCGAGGCGAAGTATGTTGTCGCGGGTGCTTGTTGTGCACAAATTCTTTACATGAAGCAAACTCTTCTAGACTATGGTTTAGTTCTAGAAAAGGTACCTCTCTTGTGTGCAATGAGAGCGCGGTAAAGCTTGCTAATAATCCAGTTCAACACTCTCGCACCAAACACATAGATATCCGCCATCATTTTCTTAAAGATCATGTTGCTAAAATGATATATCACTAGAAGGTGTAAGGACTGAGGATCAATTGACGGATATTTTTACTAAACCGCTAGATGAGGCTACATTTTGTCAGTTGAGGAATGAGCTCAATATACTTGACTTTAGTAACTTCACTAAAGAATGAGCTTGTATTGTCCCTTGCATTGCATTGTAATATAAAACATGTTTAATTTTTTAGTAATGCGCTTAGGGCTTGTCTAACATGGTTAAGATAACCGTCGAAAAGCGTGTAAAGAAGCTTAACCTTGGATGAAACTTGACAAGCAACTAGACTTACTTTCAAGTATTGCATTGCATGTGCATGTGTGTTGCTTTGTCATTTCTTTTCAGTTATCTTTTGAGCACCCGCTGTGTTTGTCCACAAATAGGGAGAGCATGTGAAGCTCCTATTGGCCTTAAAATCCTCTTGTGCGGCCACATGGTGCTCCTCGTCCCTTTTATTGCATATTTTCTTAAAAAGAATTATAGCATAAGGTAAAATACTTTAAAAATTTTGAGGGCTTGAGAGAGGTCTCTCACATCAGTCCCAATTGGTGTTTATTTGTGTCTTATTGAAGTTCGGACTTGATTGGGAAAAGGCAGCGCGAAGGAACTTTGAAGATTTGCTAAAAAATGGTGATCGGACACTGAACAGTGTTCCTCCAATGTCCGGTGTGAAGATGGCCCTACGTCCGGTCAAACAAAGAAGAAGATGTCAGGATCGATTGGACTTTGTTGTGCGTCCGATCATGGGGCACCAGATGCCTCTGGTCGTGACTTGAGGTTTTGGACCTCTCTGTTGTCGACCGGACTTCGGGTGGCAGCGTCCGGTCGTTGCCACCGGTGTGTCCGATCAATTGAATCCGAGTGAATCTAAAATTCCTTTTCTTCTCTATCACGTGGGGGCCACCATAAATAGTTATCCTTTTCTTCATCTCGTTCGTACCTTGTTCATCGTGCGCTGCTCTCTTTAGTAGTCATGATCGAAAAATCAATGAATTTGCTTGGGCGCTTGAGGTCAACAATGGAGGGAGAGAGAGAGAGAGCTCCTTTTCTGTTTTGGATGAGCTGAAATGAGCAGGAGCCAGAAGAGGGATGTTGGGGGGAGAGAGAGAGAGCTCCTTCGATTTGGATGTTACCTTCTCACCCTTTGTCATGAGATAAATATGAGGGGATAGTAGTCATGATCGGACATGTCGTTGAAGAGCCTTGGTGTAGGGGATGACTTATGAATAGCAATAGTTGCAACCATCTCATCCTCTTCACTTGTGCTCTCTTTAGTTGAGTCCCATTCATGCCTAATGTGAGCATCTCCTATGTACTTTTTGCTCTTTTTATGGTCGATCTTCTCCTCTTTCTTGTTCTTCTTGTATTTATTGTTCTTGATCTCATATGGACACTTGGCAATGAAGTGATCGGTGCTTCTATAATTGTAGCATGTCCCTTTTTCTTATTTGGAAAGCTTCTCTTCACTACCTCGTAGCCTTGCTTCTTTAGCCCCTTGTGATATCTCTTCATAAAGAGAGCAACATCATCAACTTTCTCATATTGATCATCATCATTTTCACTTTCACTTGAAGATGATGTGGTCTCTACTCTATCTTGAATTTACTTGCTTGCTTTGGGCTTGTTAGTTGAAGGTTGTTGGTTGATCTTGGACTTGCTTGTAGAGCCTTGCTTGCTTGATTTGTTGGCCTTGAGAGCTACATCTTTGATCTTGATGCCCTCTAATTTTGCTTGTAATTCTCAAAGTTTCTTCCTCTCATTTGCTTCTTCTCTTTGCATGCCAAAGGTCAAGATCCTCCCAAGTACATCATTTGCTGTGAAGTACTCAAACTTCTTCTTGTCTCTAATTAGAGTGATTACGGTCTCATTTCTAGATGAATAAGCTTTCAACATAATCTTGATAACTTTGTGATCATCTAGCTCATCATAATCATAGCCTCTAATCGTGCCCACCATCGTCATCAACCTATCAAACATCTCTTGTGGCCCCTCTCCATCTAAGATTACAAACCGGTTGAGCTTTGACATCAACAAGTTAATTTTTGCCTTTCTCACTTTGTCAACCCCTTCATGTGCTAGGTGCAAAGTGTCCCATATTTGCTTGGCAACATCAACTCCAATCACTCTATTGTACTCATCACTATCCAAGGCACTAAGCAACACACTTGTGGCTTGACCATTGAGGTGAATGATTCTCATCTCTTCTAGTGTTGGGCTATTGGGATCAACCGGTGGCTCAAATTCATTGCAAACAATCTCTCAAATACCGGGGTGAAGACCTATAAGATAAGCTCTCATCAAGTACTTTCACTTGACAAAGTTAGTCCCATTAAAATGAGGTAACTTGCCCGTGGACATATTTATGAAAGACATCCGATCATGGTTAGTCATAGGAATAGAAGAGTAGTTAAAGGATATGGCGGCATATTTGTTGTTGTTGGCCTTGTCCTTTCCTTTCTTCTCCTTCTTGTGCCCTTCCGACACTTGGTATGACTCATCATCATTTCCATCTTCGGAACTACTTGATATGCTTGATGATGCACTTGTTGCCTTCTCTTCTTCCTAACTTCTCTTCTTTTTCTTCTTGTTTCTCTCTTAAGCCTTCTTTCTTCTTTCCTTTACTTCTTTTTCTCTAATCGCCCTCCTCCTCCTTCTCTTTTCCTTCTCTTTTTAGCTTTCTTGCCTCCTTCCTTCTTCTTCTTCTCTCATTATTATCGAGAGCTCTTTGGGCATCGGTAGCCTCCGGATGTGGTAGTGTGGTGTTGCTCATTGTCGGCGCGCTCAGCTCGCTGCTGTCCATGTCGACATCCATCCGCTTCACGTTACTAGTTTCTCCTCCGGCCTTCATATCTCACGCGGTGAAGCGTATATGGGGTAACCCGCTCTGATACCACTTGTAGGATCTCTGGTTGGCTTAGGGAAGTGAATAGGTATGTCAAAACAAACACTCAAACTTTTATAAAATTCACCTGTGGCACTGCAGCTTTGGAGGCCCCACGACATCAACCGCGCCCCGCCCGCGAGGCGGCTACGCCTGACCCTCACGCACACTGACTACTCTGCACGCCAGCCCCTCGTTCCCCCTCCACACGCGCCACCGCCTCCCTCCTCTCCTCTAGGGTTTGGCTCTTAGCTTAAAGTGGAGAACGAATAGCAAGTGAATGAAGAACCAGTGGGGATTGACTAAAAAAGTGATGGGCAAAAAAGTAATTTCACGTCTTACTGGCACCCAGCTCTGTTAGAATCAGACGACAAAATGACGGAAGTAGCATGTAGAGAAATTTTAAGTAAGAATACTCAACAACCTTTGATGGTACACGGATAATTTGGATCTTTTATAATTACACACGGATAGAAGGCTCCTCCTGCAAGGCTGCATGTTGCGCCCTGCCCCTGCGCTGCCACCTAAACTAAGGGGGTGTTTGGTTTCTTAGACCAGATTTTAGTCCCTGTCTCCATCGAATGTTTGACACATGTATGGAGTATTAAATATAGATTAAAAAAATAAATAATTACACAGATTGCGACTAATTTGCGAGACGATTTTTTTAAGTCCAGTTAGTCTATGATTTGATAATGTGGTGCTACAGTAAATATGTGCTAATGATGAATTAATTAGACTTAATAGATTCATCTCGTAAATTAATCTACTCTTGTGTAATTAGTTTTTTAATTAGCTCATATTTAGTCCTCCTAGTTAGCATCCAAACGTTCGACATGACACGGACTAAACTTTACTCCCTGGATCAGACACCCCCTAACCTAAACCCTCTCCTAATCCTATACTACTACTATACTCCCAGTAAATAAACAAGCAAACCGCCTCCGCCTCCGCCTCCGCCCTCGCAAGATAAATACGCACTTCGAGGCCGCGCACACACGCCGCCCGAAACGCGAGCAAAATCAACACCACCATTACCACCGCAGCAGGCAGCAGCCCCAGCAGCAGCAGCGTTCGTTCGCAATGGCAGCTCGTCTTGCCTGACCTTCAAGGTCTAGACGCGCGCATTGGCGCCGCCGGCGTGGCTTGCGCCCCTTGAACCGCCGCCGCCGATCGCCGGCACCCCATTATCGCGTTGGGCTGGCCATCTCGCTGCGCTGCGCCATCAGGAAAGCCAAAACGCGGCGTCCCCGCGAATGGCGGGCCGCCGTCTGGTGATGCTGCTGCTGGCAGCCGCGTTCCTGGCCGCCGGCGCAGCAGGCAGCAAGCCCTCGGCGAAGTTCGAGCTCATCCACCGGGAGCAGCCGTCCTGGGACGAGGTGGCGCGCATGGACCAGGAGCGCACGGCGTTCATCTGCTCGCACGCGCGTCGCCGCGCGACGGAGGCGGCGGCCAGGGGCGGCAAGCCCAGGGCGAAGGCGAAGGCCGCGCCGGCGGACGAGGCCTTCGCCATGCCGCTCTCGTCGGGCGCCTACACGGGGACCGGCCAGTACTTCGTGCGCTTCCGCGTGGGCACGCCCGCGCGGCCCTTCCTGCTCGTGGCCGACACCGGCAGCGACCTTACCTGGGTCAAGTGCCATCGTCACGACGCGCCCGCGCACGCGCCAGCCCCGGGTTACGGGTACGGCGCCCCAGCGTCGAACGACTCCTCCTCCTCCTCGCTCTCGGCGGCGGCGGCGGCGGCGGCGGCGTCCTCCCACGAGCGCGTGTTCCGGCCGGACAGGTCCCGGACGTGGGCGGCCATCCCGTGCTCCTCCGACACCTGCACGGCGTCGCTGCCCTTCTCGCTCGCTGCCTGCCCCACCCCCGGCAGCCCCTGCGCCTACGACTACCGGTGAGTCCCCGCCGCCACCCCACCACACGCTCGCATTCCATCCATCCATCCATCTTTTTTTTTTTTGGAAAGGAGAACCATCCATCCATCCCCTCGTAACATAAGCAGGAGAGCATTAATCTGTGCTTTACTTTATATAAACCTCTGCGCGTTAACGGCGGTCCTTCGTCCACCCATCGATCTGGGTCTGCAGGCGGGTGTGGGGCGTGCGTGGTTAATTCAATTCGGTCCTGGCATTGATGAGATGCAAGCAGCAGCGGCAGCAGCTGCCGCGGCAGCAGCCTGCAATTAGTGGCTGCCTTGTTGGTTGGTGGGTGATGAGTGAGTGAGTGCGTCGGGACTCGGGAGATCTCGGGAGGCTGTGAAGGCAGGCCGTGCCGCCGGCAACGGCGAAGCGGCGCGGGGTGGGCATCGGGGGCGCCTGTTCAATGCGCCACAGCTTCCCGCCCTCTGCCTGACCAGCGTGTCGCCGCGGCAGGATAGATTGCCACTGTAGCACTGCGTTGTTGCGATTGGGGTCACGCGATGCCGATGCGAGCCGAGCTGAGCCTTCGCCCCTTTCTCTTTCTGATTGCAACTCCGGTCTCCGGCCGATTTCATTTCGAGGGGGTTTGTTGGTTGCGCCGGAGCTCTGGCGATCGTCGGCGGCGGATCGTCGCTGTCTCGGGGACCAAGCTGACTCATGCATCAACTCGTCGTCCACGTCTTGCCGCCCCGCCACTTTTCCAGTCACGGAGGCAGACACGGATCGGCCATCATGCATTCAGCGCGCTGCTCACCAAAAAGCTGCGCGTCCCGGGCAAACAACAATGACACTGACTGACGCTTGCCCCCGACGCCGACCGACCGATCTCCTTGCCTATCGGCCTCATCAGTGGCGTCGGCGTCCCGATAAGCATCATGTTACGTGCACGCGCGCGCGCATGTGCGCTGGATCCTAGCTCCAGAAAAGGACGCCCATGGCGAGCAGGCGGGCACGAGGGCATCCACCGATGCCAATGGCGTGGCGTGTCAATCCGTGCTCGTCTGTTCGTTCGTGCCTGCCTTGCGTCGACGCCGGGTGTAGCTGAATGCTGTCATGCTGAGCACTGGGCACTGGCGGCGTTCGTATCTAGGCAGGCAGGCTTGGCCCAAGCCCGCTTGGCGCTTGCTGTTTGCCGTGTCCTGCCAACAGCGGCGCCGCGGAAAGAGAGCCGGCACCCGAACATGGCGGTGGCCGCGAGCCGCTGCAGCAGCCATGCTCTGCCCCTGCTCCGTCATGTGCGAATGCGACGCCGGATTCGGGCTGTAGTGTAGTGTACTGTACTCCATCCACTCCACTCCACTCCACCCATGGGTGGTCGTGTCAGCTTGTCAGGACATTGAACATATTCCTTGGCAGGGACGGTGAAATATCTAAGGCCAGGCCGTTGTTTATCCTCCCTTTTAGGGCCTGATTAGATCCCTTCCGGTTTGAAAATTTACATTTACATGGACTTTCAATTAGTATTTGATAAAAATAACTAATTTTTGAACTATTTGGAATCAAAAGATTCGTTTTTTGCCAATTACGGGTTGGTCACGATTAGACAATATTTACCAAATAAGACGAAAATGCTACTATTCATCTGATTGAAATTTTTTGCAATCTAAACATGTCCCAGGCCGTTGTTTATCCTTCCTTTTAGTTTTAGGAGTATTTGATTTTCACTGACGCCATTGTGCCAAGAGCCACGAGCAAGCAAGCAGACAGAGACTGTGGCGATGGTACAGAACGCTTCGGGATTCCACGGATTTGCTCGGCTGGATTGGCCCTGGAGTTCGTGTCGAGTGCAGCAACATGTCTGGTTACATGGCCTAAAGGACATCCCGGTCCGGTCTCATCATGTTGCTTTGCCTGGCAACTTGATCATCAAGGCCCGGCCTCCTGTCTAGAAAAACATTTCGCTTCGATATTGTATTTAGGAGTATTGCATTATCTGCATACTACAAGTAGGAGTATATCGTAGGATATGCACATGGTGCCCTGTTTCGGCAAAACACCATGGTTAGATACATGGATCTGGGGGAATGGCCAATGTGGCAATGTGGAAGGCGCCAAGGGTCACAGATACAATCCATTCTCGTGGACGGTACCAGTACCATACCCGAGCCACGTTCTCTCTGGACAAATGCATTCTGCTAGTGAACAAAAAAAATAGCTTGGCATTCGGTGAGCTGCTTGCTACGGCGATGGTTGCCATCGCTGGCTCTCTGACGAGACAGGCAACGTAAGGCTGCTAAATCAGGTTGGCACTGCACTGCCATGCTAGGCCCATGTCCGTTTCTTGGATGCTTTTGTACACAGTCTCCCTTGTTCGTGACGTTCAATGATTCTGCTCAAGAGGGAGGGACTGCATCAGCATCTGCTGGATGTGAGTACTTGCAAACCAGTCATGGCGCGCCGCTTCTGTTGCCTGCAAGTTGAAAGCGCGCAACGCAAGTATACTGCATAATAAGATGTATACATACATGTCTGTTTCTGTTGCTACAGAATTGTACGGGCTTTGTTATTTCTTGGCCAAACTTGGTAGTCGCACTCAGGAGATGTTTCGATTAGCGTACAGGCAGCTAAACCAAGCAATTGTTTAACTGCAATTTGCAAAAACCGTTTTGTTTAGTCCGAGTAGATGAGGATTCACCGAGGTATGGTAGCGGCGGGCGGCGGGCGGCGGGCTTAAAGAGATGGATGGATCCCTGAATCGCGCCATGTGCCATGCATGCGGTGACTAACCGCCACGTATTTTTCTCGCGGGATCCGCGGGGCATGCAATGCAGGTACAAGGACGGGTCGGCGGCGCGCGGCACGGTGGGCACTGACTCGGCGACCATCGCGCTGTCGGGGCGCGCCGCCAGCAAGAAGCAGCAGCGGCAAGCCAAGCTGCGGGGCGTCGTGCTGGGCTGCACCACGTCCTACACCGGCGAGAGCTTCCTCGCCGCCGACGGGGTGCTCAGCCTCGGCTACAGCAACATCTCCTTCGCGTCCCGCGCCGCGGCGCGCTTCGGCGGCCGCTTCTCCTACTGCCTCGTCGACCACCTAGCCCCGCGGAACGCCACCAGCTACCTCACCTTCGGGCCCAACCCAGCCGTGTCGTCCTCGCCACCCTCCAAGACGGACTGCGGCGGGGGCTCGCCGGCGGCGGCGGCGGCGGCGCCCGGGCCCAGCGGCGCGCGGCAGACGCCGCTGCTGCTCGATCACCGGATGCGCCCGTTCTACGCGGTCACCGTCAACGGCATCTCCGTCGACGGGGAGCTCCTCAAGATCCCGCGCCTCGTCTGGGACGTCGAGAAGGGCGGCGGCGCCATCCTCGACTCCGGGACGAGCCTGACGGTGCTCGTGAGCCCGGCGTACCGCGCCGTGGTGGCGGCGCTGAGCAAGAAGCTGGCCGGGCTGCCCAGGGTGACCATGGACCCGTTCGACTACTGCTACAACTGGACGTCGCCGTCCACGGGCGAGGAGCTCGCCGTGTTCGTGCCGGAGCTGACCGTGCACTTCGCGGGGTCGGCGCGGCTGCAGCCGCCGGCGAAGAGCTACGTCATTGACGCGGCGCCCGGCGTCAAGTGCATCGGCCTGCAGGAGGGCGACTGGCCCGGGGTATCCGTCATCGGCAACATCCTGCAGCAGGAGCACCTCTGGGAGTTCGATCTCAAGAACCGACGGCTAAGATTCAAGCGGTCACGGTGCACGCAATGATTGGACCGCGGTCATCCAATTGTTCCTCCCTCCACATCTGCATTTTTTACCCCTTTTGTGGTGGTGATCTTGCTGATTCTTTTTTTTTTTTTTTTTTTTTTTACCCATGTTCAGATACTAATGCAATGAGAAAATGTACCTTCTTGCAATGCAAAGTGATAAGCTGTAACCAGTTTTCCTTTTTCTTTTCCTACTCCCTGGTTCTTCTCATTCTAGTGAATATATTCATTCCTAGTTCACTTCTTCCGGTTCCACATATGTGCCTAACTGTTATACAAGGATTTGCTCTATGACACTAAGGTGTTAGCTTGAACTACCAACTACCTACATCTGAATTTCATTTCGCTCAAATTGCACCTCGTGGCCTCATCTCAAATTTCGTTTCGCTCAGTTTTTAGAGCTAAAGTTTAGGGATCCAAACAGGCCTTAATCAGTCGGTGGGTTAGGGTAAAGAGATTTAGGGATTTTATGAGTTATAGGTTGAGGACTGGGATTAAGAATTTAGGGACTCGGAACTTTAAAGCATCTCCACTGGATATTTTATCCAATTTCCTATATATAAGAGTAGTTTTAAGAGATTCTTTATATTATTACTAAGAGCATCTCTAGGAGTTTTGTATAGTTCATTACTTGCTAAATTTTTGGATCTAACAAATTAACAGATAAAATAGCTATCTCAAATTTTGTCCTTCTCCAACAGTTTCTTTTAATAGCTTCCTAAACGATTTTGCATTGGGAATCCCAAACTATTTTTAACTAACCAATCCCTTTTTAGCAATTTCTTTGTCTCTTATCGCTTTCTCATCTAGAATTCTTTATTTTTCTTAATTTACTCATGTATCTAATGTACTTTGATCTCTCGAGAAAAACACCAGATGAGGAGCGGATACAAAGTTCCTCTGAACTGTAGAAACTTTCGAGTTGCAGGGGATATTTGACAACTTTTACTTTTAAAAAGTTGTTCTACCAAACTGTTAGAGGATATTTTTTCTCTTTTTTGTAAAGTATCAAAATAGAGAGTTGTTTTACAAAACTCCCAAAGATATTATAATTGTTAGGAATAGATATTTTGATAAAAAATATTCTTCAACAACTTCTTTGGCTCATAATTTGAAGATACTCTAATAGCTATATTTTGTAGGCACTTCAAAATCTCAAATTCATTACCTAAAAAGTTCAGTACACGATGGTCTCATGCAGTGGCAGAGCTCGATGGGAAAACAAGAGGGTGTGTCGGGTGTGCCATCAGCACTAGTAATGTCTTACTTAATATGTATATTTATTGATTTTAATCAAAAGTTTAATAGCTATGTATCAAAAAAATTTAATAGATATTTTCTCTCTTCCTGAATAAATAGATTCGTAGAGCTGTCTTAAGTCAAACATTTTAAACTATAATCGGATTTCTAGAAAAAAAATATCAAGATTTATGATATCAAACTAGTATCATCATATGTGTTATAGGATATATTTTTCATGATATGCTCACTTTATATCATAGATGTTGTTACTCTTTTCTATAAAGTTAGTTAAATTTAAAAATAGTTTGACTGGCATAGATTTTAAGAATTGATTTATTTGAGGATGGAGGGAGTACTTAAACGAGTTTTCAGGGACTATGGCCCTCTTTGATCTGCAAGTTTGCCCTTATTGCCGCTAACCTTTTTTCTTGGGGAAAAAGTCCATTTTACCTCCCTTAACTATCGAGAAAGTTAGCTTTTCCTCCCTCAACTCTAAAACCAAAAATAGTTCCTCCCCATCTCTCAGAACCGGCCACTTGACCTCCATGGTTGTTTCCCTTGGTGGTTTTTCTTTTTTGTTTTATGTTTATTTCGATCGAATCTTTAAAAAATTATAGTAAATCACAGAAAAATTATAAAATAAAAAATCCGATTATGTTGAACTGCATATAAGTAGATCTACACAGTGAACATATGATGTATTATGCTTTAGCACAAAGTTTTTGTTGTAATTTTAGATCTATGTTTTTCTATAATTAATTAATAGCTGCGGATTCTCTAGTCCAATTCTGATGAAATTTTTATGGTGCGCTAATCATTACATGCTTGAGCTATAGTAAAAATTTCATACTCATTGGATCACGTATGTTTGAGTTATAGATTTATTTAGGTTTATGTTTGTTAAATAGTTTTGAATGAAATTAAATGTACAACTCAGTCATACATGATCCAATGAGCGTGAACTTTTTGTTAGACTCCACGAGTATATCTACATAGTAAACATGTGATATGATATGTTTTAGTATAAAATTTTTGTTGTAGCTTTAGATCTGAACAATTATGTAATTAATTCATAGCTGTAGTTTCTGTTGTCCAATTATGGTAAATTTTTATGGTGGGCTAATCATTGAATGCTTGAAATGTTGTAAAAATTTCATGCTCATTGGATCATGTATGACTGAGTTATAGTTTTATCTAGATAAACCTAGATAAATCAATAAATAAATCTATAAATCAGTCATATATGATCCCATGAGCATAAAATTTTTTTCTACGATTCAAGCATGCAATGATTAATCTACCATAAACAGTTCTCCATAATTGAACCAGAGAAACTGCAACTATGAATTAACTATATAAAACATAGATCTAAAGTTAGAGTAAAAACTTTGTTTTAAAGCATACCATATCATCTGTTCCACTGCATAATCTACTCATGTAGAGTCCAATATAATTGGATTTTTCATTTTATGATTTTTCTGTTATTTACTATGATTGATCAAAAATTTAGCCAAAATAAACATAAAAGAAAAAAAAAAACACCAATGGAAATAACCATGGAGGTCGAGTGACCGGTTTTGAGAGATGAGGAAGGAACTATTTCTGATTTTAGAGTTGAGGGTTGAGGGAGATAAAATGAACTTTTTCCTTTTTCTGATTCTCATAGGTTGGCGAGTGGCTTGGGCGGAATATTTATATATTTATCATCATTATGGTGTGAGTAGTATAAAAAATACTATATCAATAACTCAAGGTGTCAGTGACACGGTATAAGATGCCATCTATAATAATGCTAAATATGTAAATGCCCCGCGTGGGCCGGTGGGCGAGGCGTGTCTCGCGTACTTTCAAAGCCCAACAAATTGGTAGCACCCAAAGCCGAATGGGTCAAAACACAAGGCCTCGGGCCCTCCGTTGTGCTCCCTCCGCGAGGAGAGGGAGGAGAGCTGATGAGGCGACCGGCTCGGTGCTGAGTTGCTGACCAGCGGAAAGTCCAGTACCCAACCGGAGCCACCAAGGAAAGGAGGAGGAATGGAAGCAGCCGGCGCAGCCTCGCCGCCCCCGCCCACGGAGCCGCCGCCGACTCACCCGGCGGTGGCGCCGCTGGCCTTCCTGCTGGGGAAGTGGCGCGGGGAAGGCGAGGGCAGCTTCCCCACCATCTCCTCCTTCCGGTACGGCGAGGAGCTCCTCTCCTCGCATCATCCCTCCAAGGTGTGGCGCCTCCCTACCTGCGCTGTTTCCCTCGCAAGAAATCTTCCCTTCGGCTGCCCAATTCTTAGAGCTTTTTCTTTGGCTTACGGATCGGTGGTGGGTGGCTGCAGCCGGTGATCTCGTACACGCAGAAGACGTGGAAGGCGGCGTCTGGCGAGCCGATGCACGCCGAGAGCGGGTACTGGCGGCCCCGCCCTGACGGCTCCGTCGACGTGGTCATTGCGCAGAGCACTGGCCTCGCCAAGGTCCAGGTGAGCTCCTCGCGCCAGTTGGTCTTCTCTTCAAGCATGGCTGGGGGGGTGCATTTTTTGGGACAGTTGCACATTGCTACCTTCACGCTGCACATGTGCCATCGCCTGTTGCATACCCTACTCCCTAGTGAACTACTTGCACATTCCGTTGCTCGCACCGGTATCCGAAGAATGATTTGTGCTGTTTTGGTTAGAGATGCAGGGCACAAGCATCTTTAATTGCCTCACTGAAACTAGTATCAAACCAGCATTCCATTGGAGAAGTTGTGTTCTGTTCCTGTATTAGTAGTAGGAGATTTGCATTATTGACGCTTGATGGAAACGAGTATGAATAGAATTGTGGCATATTAGGGAACTGATGTTTTGTACTTCTGTGGATGGGGAATGCTCTACTGCTAACAGGTAATAGAATAGGCGAGTGAATGGAAGTATGGAGCTGACAATCCAGGAACCACATGAGTGCAAAATAGCTAGAGCTAATATCATCCTTGTGCCTCTTGAAACTGTTGATGAATGGAATGTATGTTTCACTTTATAGTACTTCTCGTTTAAATTTGAATATGTTGCGCCTGGGACTAAAAGGTACTTCGTTCCAAATTACAAGACGATTTGACTTTTGTAGATACACAGTTGTTTACACCAAAATTTAGGAAGACGAACGCGGTAACTCGAAGCTTTCGGAATTGTGTCATCAAGGAATCGATTGGATGTGAATCGGTATCAGTGATTTAGATGCGATGTCAGAATCGGTTATTTTATAGATGACGTCAACAGACGATATCAATGGGCTATGCTTGAATGGCGTCAGGAAGATGTGTCGGACTCTATAAATAAGAAAAATTAGGGTCCAAGTTATTATTAAGTTAGGAAATTTTCTTTTATTTCAAGAATTGTAACGAGTCATATTTGAGTAGGATTCATATTTAGGTTCTGGGTATAAATATTAGACCTTGGTTATTGTATAAGAAAAAACGAACACTCAATCAATACAATCTTTTCGGCTTTCGTCGTCGCATTAGGAGTAGTGTAGATCTCGATGAGTTCTTCAGCAAACTGGGTCGCATCAATTGATCGACCTCCAGTTTGCTTATGAGTACCATCACGACTTGTATTGTGCTTGTAAAATTGTATCGGCTGATTGATCGTTTATGAGCCATAATATAAATTAGTTATCGATCTGTATCGCAGTTTGTAAGGCTACATCAGCTGATTGATCTATTATGAATCATAATATAGATCAAAGTTATCGATCTTGTGTTAAATAACTTATTGTTTAATATAATATCATCAGTTATCGAATCTGCTAAGTTCAGTAAGATTTTTCTTGCTGTTTTTGATTGATTCACCAGTTATCGATCTTGTTATAATTAATGTTTTATTAATTATAATAAATCGCCCGATTGAGATAGAGATAAATTTGCATCATATCATCTTAATTGGTCGTCATTTGATCTGGTCACGTTTTAAATCTTATAATTGATGGCTTAATTTCGCTAGATCGGCTGTTTTATCTCTATTCCAATCAAACATTGTATGCATCTATAGACACGTTTCAATCTTGAATAAACTCACTAATTAATGAGATCTAATCTAATGACACTACCATAACTGCATAAATCCGGTCGAACCTCACTGGTAAAATTTTAGATTAGAAATTATCGATTAGTGGTCTTGTTCATGATAAGATATGTACTCTGTTTGCTTGCTATGACTGTATCGGCTATTTTAGCCGATTTGTCTATACTCTCACGCATATAGCATGTTTTCATGAATCTGTCAACATATAGATGGTTTTATAGATTCTTTGGCTTTAGTTATCATTATCGTAGCTGCATCGATCCGACCGAACCTCACTGTTAATGATAATAGATTAGATTCAAACTGTTTGTAGATTCATTTATATTAGACAGTCGATTTGTTCACATGTTATACTCTTTTCATCAAACTTATCGGCTCGACGCTTTATATCGATTATGTTCCATTTAGCCGATGATGCTTTCTGATGTTCCATGAACATCGGTTATTTTGATTCATATCATTATCATTTAATATTAGCCGATAATCCTTGATTTAAAGATCTCCATTTTATGGATACACCGGATATCGACTATTTAGCCGATAGCCTTATTGAATCGGTTATCTAGCCGTACATTTGGAGCTGTTTGGTGCAACACCGACATATTTCACCTTAAATTACTGAGATTTTCTCTTCTTGTCAATTGCAGGTCAAATTGACTGGCACGTCGTTGGATTTTCAGAATTGGCTGGTTATGTGTTGAAGCCAAGTAGATCTCTGGTCTCATTCCACTCAGATCATCCGGCTTGTTGTGTGTTGATCACATCGCCATATTTTTGTGTCAACAACAGCTTTTGTTATATACTTAGATATACACTATGTCTATATACATAGTATAAAAGCAATACATCAAAAAATCAAAACGTCTTATAATTTGAAAAGGAGGGAGTACCCCTAACCGAAAGCTATGTTACTTTTCTAGAAACTTGTGTGCTATTCATATTCCTTAAGTAATGTGCGTTTCATTTATTGGGCCATTTTTTCGGTTCTATGAAATAGCAGAAGGGTTCATATGACGCTGAAAAGAAAACAGTGGCACTCCAAAGTGAACTCGTAGGAAATGCATCAAAGGTACTGCTCACTGGGTAACTATTGTTGTTCCGTGTTGTCCTCATTTTCTTTACATTGTCAAGTCATATATCCCCAGAGAAAATAGACCATGATATGGCCGTGAATCTCTGAAAAAAAACACTTCCATGAAATTATATCACGAAATCCATCTTTGCTTATGGGTGACTGGGTGAGGTGAGGCTATCTTTTATTCTTTTTTTTATTGTTATTGTACTGTTACACCTTTTGTGTTCAAGAATCATGCTACTATAGGTTGGCCCATCCCCTAAACTCAGTCGGAATTCCTATTCTGAATTGGCCCTTTGAACTTCTGCATTTTGATTGCATCACCTTCACACACTATCATGTGCTAGATCAGATGCTACGAGTTTAGATGCAGATATGGTCTAACCTGTTTCTGATGACCTTGAAACCCACGGGATAAAAGGAGTCAAGCAGTTGTCTTTTTCTACTAATAAATACTGCTGAATTTTGCCAGGTGAAGCAGATCACGAGAACTTTTCAAGTGGCAGATGGGGAGCTCTCGTACGTCGTCCAGATGGCAACAATCACAACTAGCCTACAGCCACATCTCAAGGCCCTTCTTAACAGGATTTGAAGATCTCCTATAGCGACGTCGATGCGGCTAACCAACCGAGGGACACCTGTACTACAGAGCATAAACTTCCGGTTCTTAACATGCATAGTGAAAACCACAGACACTACTAGTTAGTGAACTTACAAGTTCAATAAGCTCATTTTCAAAAACAAAAGTTCCGCTCTTAGGAACCACCGTATGTGTAAACGGCTTAACATTGAGCCCATACTCCGCATATCGAGATTTTTCAGATTTTTTTACTTTATTATTTATTCCTCCTTAACATGCAATAGTGAGAACACAAATCACTATGTTTCTCAAAGATTACATGCATAGAGAAAATAAGAGAAGAGCGTAAAAAAAATGAGCTCATTGTTCACATGACGTTATGATAAATTGAAAAAATGAGCCTTTCCACTATTTCAGATCGATCTTAATGTTCAAGGCAGCAGAGAGCAGAGGAGTTGAAGAGGGTCATGTTTCAGAGTCCTGAGGTTAAAAGTTCCAACAGCCACTGTATTCTGAAGCTGCCTCTTACAAAAAAGGATCAGCCAACAGGATGCTAAAGCCAGGAACCAAACAACAGAACCAACACACCGAGAACTTGGGTACTGTCAGATTTTGTGGATATGCTGCACAAGAAATGAAGCAAGTAGAGCGGCGAACCAGAGACAAGTATAAAAACCAGATATTTCACGTAATGAAATAAGGATTATGATCAAGCAGGTCAAGTTTGCAATGAGAACCAAGATTTTAGCACCATATTTTTGGAGAACCTAAACAAGACATTGATTTCCAAGTCTTAAGTCACTAAAAAAACACTAGGACTCCCTTCAGAGAAGAAATCCAATCACGCTTCAGTGTGTTCCCTCAAGCGCCGGATTGAGCTCCTGACAGTGACTGCATTAGCAATGCTGCAAAGACACAAAAGAATTAGGATATTCACCACAATGCAAGGTTGTTTAGGGAGAGGAAAGAAGTTGAAAAGAGGACATACTTCATGGTGTAAGCACCACCAGCCTTGACCTTCCCTCAGTCCTTGCATCCCCAAATTCCAAGTGCTTTTCTCTTCACAGCAAACTGGTGAGAAAGCACAGCAAAGTCAGTAATAGGACAAAACAAACACTATTTTGCATGTGTTTTAGAAACAAATTGCTCAACATGCATAAGTATATCATAAACCATTCAAATATGATACCAAACAAGCAGAATTGACAACAAATACATTCTACATTCTACAGTTTATGGCAGTTCAGGTACGCAGAAGTCATTAAGCTAGACTGCAGTACATTGTTCAAAATTTCAACAGCAACCAGAATAATGCATAACTAAGACAATTAACATAAGACCTACCTTTCCACAGAACTCACAGAATTACTTGGAGAGATGAGACACCTCCATCTTCTTGATTTGCTTACGCAAGCTAGTACCATACCTAGTTCCTGAAACATTTAGAATTTGCAAGGGTTAGCTTCAGAAAGTTCTAGAAGCATGAATAAGAATACCATATTTGCCAATGATGCCAACCTTCTTAGTACGCTTCGTCTGCATAGACATAACAAAAACAAGAAGTTACAGTCACATACAAAATGTGTTCAGTATAGTATAACTGGTTGATGTGTGACACTTAAGTACAGATGCATCTTCAAGACCAACATTAAGTAACAGATTGCACGCATTGAAGTTGACATGTCACAAGAACCAAGTATAATTTCTAACATTAGGTATGTAGTGAACAAAAATACATTTAACTCATAAAATCATAAAAAGGGATACAAGCCGCTAGATATATTTTCGTTCCTGCAAGGTCAGGCTGGAGGGCAGATTTTGCACCAGGTTGATTAGACTCTACTTCTTTTCTGGATGACCAAACAACTTGATACACTGCTACTACATATTCTAAGAGCGCATTTCGCAGCAACAAACGTTTCAGATTCTCTGTAAGATCACTGCTAAACATCATAAAGAAAGATGTTTTAGGAATAATCACTTGAAACCGATTCTCATTTTTTAGTTAGCCTAGAAAAATATCTAAAAACTGGGTTTTTTCCCGATTCTATGCCATATGTGGCCAACGAATCATGTCTCAAACGACTGCGACCGTGCTCAATGAAACAGCGAACGAATACTAGAAGACTCCTCTCAAAACAGAGAGATGGAAGAGACAAAAAAAAAAACACACAAAATTGATGGAAATATGAATTGGACCACCGTCGCGGCCACGTCGGTGGAAGAGCATCTTGACCGGCTCCTCGATTAGTAACGACAATGATTAGCAGCATTATTCTTAGCTGGGCATTGATCTCACGCTCAGAACATCATCGTGGAGGCCTAAGCCACCGATAGGCTATTTGCGGCTTGATGATTGGTGCTACTGAGCCGATGGTGACCGATCACCAGCGCCACGCCACAGTGTTCGTGTTCCGGCCATATTCATATGCTTAGAAACAGCACGCTCCTTGGTTGTTGGCACACCCTTAATCTGCAGTGGTTAGGTTAGGCCGGGGGCCGTACGTGCCAACTACAAGGCAGCCCCAAAGCCATCGCGCGTGTGTCATTATCGACCTACTAATTCAGGCCTCAGACACGCTCTTCGACCTGATGTCTTTGCCATTTTTTAGCTTTTTTCCTACTATTACTTGTTGGAACGTGATCGGTTCGGCTAATCCCAAACTTAATTACAAGATTAATCGCGCTTAATTAATCTCGTAATTAAGTTCGGGATTAGCCGAACCGATCACATTCCAACATTCCTTTTCAGTAGGGAAAAACCTTCTCATATCAAATGAGGCCGAGTATCTTATGATCATTTTTGCAGTCCTATCGGATTTCTCCCATTTTTCTAATTTGGGAGTGTACTCCTTCGTTCTCTCAGTACAATAATCATAAATAGGAGAAGGAGCATATGGTTTTTCCTCGTTAAGTGCATAATCAAGGTCCAACTCCTTGAGAATGGCTTGCACCTGATTATTCCAAGTAGGATAATTAGTGCTACTTAGGAGTTCTATGTTACTTATATAGTCTACATAATTTTTTGAAAAAAATTGAAGCAAAATAATGTCTCAATTAGTAAGTTGTATATAAGATGTACTTAAAGCATGAAGTTAAAACAACGTTGGTCAGTATTAACAGCATGCTTAAGAACTTTAATTTGCATCACCGTTGGGCAGAAACAAACCAAAATTATCTTAAATAACTCATAATTAAAGTTAACGTTGGTCAGAAATTAATTATGAGTAATCTCCAGTTAAACTTCTCGTTGGTTCCATTCAACTAGAGACCATCTTATTATACAGGGTGGATATAATGTATATATAAATACTTATAATTGAATGCAAAATATTGCACAACTGAATCTTAGAGTATTAATAAAACATAAAAAAACTCAAGAAAACATAGAATTAATACTGGAACTGAAATTAAAAACTAAAACTTAGAACTTATTTAAATATGTGCATAAAAGTTAACTTAGTAAATTTGCACTAAAGAAAATAAAAATATACTAAGCAACATATACCCAAAAACATACTTAAATTAACTTAAAGGTCACTAATGAAAAAGAATAATTATACTGTCGGTGTGAAATTTGACCAACAAGTAAATATTTATAGTTTTATCGTGCGTTGTGATCGGATGTGGCCTAACACTCAATGACACAAGATTTATACTGGTTCAGGCAACGTGCCCTACGTTCAGTTTTAATCGATCGGTGACTTTATTCCTGAGCCCAAGTGCTCGAAGATTGTTGTGGGGTTACAAACGAGTAGGAATGAGAATGGGTGTTAGAGGCCCGGTCGAACTCTGAACCGAGTGGCCGAGAGTGACGGACGCTCTAACGTGCGCTAAGTATTGGAGCGTATACTCTGTGTCGCTGTCGAGTTCTAGAGCTATTGAGATGTTCGAGTCCTCAGGTCGTCGAGTCCTTGAGTCATTTAGCCCTCTTTTGTTGGGAGAGAGCGCATCCCCTTTTATAGGTGAAAGGGATGGCCTTACAAGTCAGAGAGAAAGAGAGAGAGTGCGTACATGTGCTACCTAGTCTTGTTGCCCACACTGTGGGGTACGAGATGGTCGTCGGCGCCCATAATATTGTTTATGTTCAGACGCATCTGGCAGGCTCTACCGTATTCGCTTTGTACGGCAAACGTCGACGCCTACAATATTGTTTGTGTTCTGATGCGTCTGAAAGGTTGTATAGTGTCCGTCTATCATGTCCTGGTGGCACCATCCTACAAGTGCGCAGGGTATGGCAAGGTATGATCCTCGGTATTTACAGCTTGACTTGAGCGCCTTATCTTATCTGCTCCGTCTACGCCCTGGGCCCACACCGAGCGGGCGTCCTCGGTCAGTTGCTCCCAGTTGGCCCCCGACCATGTCGATCGAAAAAGAGCAGCGGGCAGATGTAACACCTCTGGTGTTACGATCTTACTTAGTGCTTAGATTAAGGCCTAAAAGAAATTAACAAAACAAGTTTTTGGGTGTTAAAAATTTTAAAACTCCTAAGAAAGGATAATTAAATTGTAGGTCTCATTTTTACGAGAAGAGAAGCGAACGGGATATTGCGAGTTAGTTCAATTAATGTGTAAATGTGCTTATGAAATTCTAATAAGAAAAATAGAATAAGTTGTTTTAGATGTTCGGCATGAAAAATGATTTCTATAAATGAAAATATGACATAGCTTATAATTAGAAAGTGCCATTTTTAAGAATTATAATGTGTAAAATACTTAAATAGTGCTTTAATATTTTGTTCCCACGAGATAGTATGAAGTATGGACTAGGTCATGACATGTTGTCTAGTTGAAATTGACAAAATTCCAACCTTTTAAAAATTCAATCAATGGTGTTAATGGTTGTTTAGTTCAAGCGGGACTCTCGTCCTTTCTAAGTCTGTAACGGTGATAGACAATGTCATTTTGACATTTCATTTTCAACAAAAATGGTTAAGCACTACATCCATATTCTTACACCATGGGTTGCTTCTAACTTAGCACCTGGGCAAGGTGTAGATCGTAGTTGAGTTG